TATGAATTCATTTTTGGGAATCTTTGTGTGTGACTCTATAAAATGCCATCTATTATTGATACCGTTTAATGCAAGATCTACGGAAACATTAGTAAATAATGAAACAACGTCCAATGAAGCTATTATGTCGGTATCTTGTATTGTTTTCCCTGATAGAATGTTGCATATATCAAAACTGTTATTTACAAAACTGTCCGCTCTAGGAAGGCTATCTTTTAAAATTTTATGAAAGAAAGAAGCAATATTATATAGAGAAGTATTTATTGAGGAAACTATTAATCTAAAAGGAATATTTTCCTTGTGGATCTTGGGGAGCCCATAAGCTTTAGGAAGAAGAGAGTCGCTTGAAAATAAATAATAATATTCTTTTTTGTTGATGAAGTCTTTTTTCAACCATTTTTTTAAACAAATATTGAGGTCTTTTCTATTTTTGTTGATGGATTGTTTTTAACTATGGTATACGTAGAATCGTCTTCTAGGAGACTCTCAACTTTTTTTATATAAAATTCTTTTTCTAGTGCGACTGTAATGCTGCCTTTATCTGCTCTGGTAAATAAAATATTAGGATTTTGATTGCAGAATTTAATTGTGTCTTTATGCATGTGAAATAATTTTTCTTGTATGTCCGTTTTTTTGTCGTTATTGTTTAAAAATAATGAAAATTGTGGAATGGCAGCATTACGAATCGAAGTAAGATTTCTGATCCCGTTAGAATTGCTTTCTATATCTTTGATGAATTCGTGTATAGCTACTTTTTTATTTAATTTAACTGGGAGACTAAATTCACCTCCCAATTGTAATAGATTGGTTACATTGGGGGGAATTTTTTTATCAGTTAAATTAATAAACCATTTCTGGTTAGTTTGTTGTAAAGGGTTATGTGTAGCATAACGAAAACTGTTGGCAGAAACAGTGTTATCAACAATATTTGTCGAAGATGTTGTTTTTAATTCGATAGGATCAATATTTTTAATGTACTCTGTTTCATGCGATTTACGTAGCCATAGGAATTTTTTCTTATGTATGAGATATAATTTTTGGTTGAACAAAGAAAAGGAGTTGCAATGGTGATTTAAAATCTCCTGCCAGATATAAGATGGTAAAAGATTTTGGAGAATTTGGAATTGTCTTGACCGTTTTTTATTAAGTGAGTTTAAAGTTCTATATAATCAAATATCTCTATGTTAAGAATTTCAGTTTTGATATTATGCAACAAACCACGCATCCTATTTTTTGATTTATAGTGGTAGAAAACAAATTTATTATTACAGAAATTACGCAAATGGTTGGGAAACAAACAATATCTCTTACATTCCCTTAAAAATTTCAACTTCGACATTGCCTTAATTATCGCATAATTAAAATTTAGCCAAGATTTAAAATGTTTTAACGTTTCTAGACCAAAATAGTTATAAATAAAACTAGAATTAAAACGATGGTATTTAAACGGGTAATTAGTCACACGCATTATAAGGCCAGCGTTTATTAAAATTAATTAATGAAAGGCTCGTATAAATTAAACAAAATTAAACAATCATATATAGTAGGCCAACTAAACGAGCAAATAAATAAGATGTAAAAATTTTTTTATTAATAGTTAAATCATTAAATTAACATTCCGTTACAGAATCGATATAAATTGTAAACGTTTCGACTGCACTACAGTCTTTATCAATACATAAAAATTAAATATTAAAATATAAAGTTAGATGTTAAAAATACAAAGTTAGTTAAATATTAAAATATAAAATTGAAACGATTCTTCGCTGTTGACCAATAGATATGCAAGGCGATTGGTCTGAGATGCCAAGTTATGCGACATTTGAGCATGCTACGGATATAATACGCGAATTAAATCAATGTCAGAAAAAATTAAAAAATCTTTCAACTTACATTATCGTTTTAACAAGTCCTTTTCCCCGATATTTCAAGTGTGTGTTGCGAAGTCTGAATACCAAATGTCAAAATAGAGAGCGTGATGTATTTATTTATTACCAATGTTTTTTCTAAATTATGATTCAGCAAATTTTTTAAGTATGTCAAAATAACTACTGTCTAACAATTCGGTGTCTGTATTTAAATTAATTCCATTTTTCTGTTCTTTAATGTGGATCATTTCAGATATTAGTCTTTTTTGGTAATTCTTTTCATGATCCATAATTTTAATATTGTCCCAGTCAAATGTATGTTGTTCGTTTAGAATGTGTTCCGTGATAACCGAATGTCTAGCAGAGTCTAATTTAATATTATTTTTATGTTCTTTAAGTCTCGTTCCTAACTGTCTTTTTGTCTGTCCGACATATGTGGCGTCACAATCGTTGCAATTCAATTTGTAAATAACGTTAGAATTCGTGGGGCAATTATTTTTGTCCTTTTGAACTCTTATGAAGTCATTTAATTTTTTAATGCAACGATATCCTACCACTACGTCAGGTCTTCTTATTGCTGAAGCAACTTTCTCAGATATTGATTCTATATATGGTATGACAAAATATTTAATGTTAGTATTAGTATTATTAGTATCTGTTATATTGTTATTATTAGGCTTGTTAAATTTCTTAGTTGAGAGATTTTTTAATCTGCGTTTTATTTCTGTGAAAATTAGATCAAGAGGATAACCGTTGGATAGCAAAATGTTAATAGCTTTCTCTATATTTTTTTTGTGAAATTGCGGATGTGATAGTAATAAAGCTCTATCTACCAAGTTATAAATTGTTCCTATTTTATGACAAGTCGGATGATTTGAAAAAAATGAAAGTAATCTACCTGAGAATGTCTTTTTGTGATACCAATCTAAATAAATTTTGTTATCTATTACTTTGATCATTATGTCTAAAAAGCTTATACAACGATTATCCTCCTTTTCCAATGTAAATTGTAGTCTATCGTTATAATTGTTGAATTCGTTCAAAACATATGTAATATTGTCAGCGGAAGTGCATAAAATAATGTCGTCTACATAACGGAAATAGAAAGTCATTTCGCAATTTAAATTAACTAATTACTGATGTTTCCAAGTCCTGCATGACTATATCGGCAATGATCGGAGAAAGTGGGGAACCCATAGGAGTCCCATAAATTTGTTTGTAAGTTATGTTATTAAAAGTGAAAAATGTAGAAGTTAATATAAATTTTATCATACCTATGAATTCATTTTTGGGAATCTGTGTGTGTGACTCTATAAAATGCCATCTATTATTGATACCGTTTAATGCAAGATCTACGGAAACATTAGTAAATAATGAAACAACGTCCAATGAAACTATTATGTTCGGTATCTTGTATTGTTTTCCCTGATAGAATGTGCATATATCAAAACTGTTATTTACAAAACTGTCCGCTCTAGGAAGGCTATCTTTTAAAATTTTATGAAGGAAGAAGCAATATTATATAGAGAAGTATTATTGAGGAAACTATTAATCTAAAAGGAATATTTTCCTTGTGGATCTTGGGGAGCCCATAGCTTTAGGAAGAAGAAGTCGCTTGAAAATAAATAATAATATTCTTTTTTGTTGATGAAATCTTTTTTTCAACCATTTTTTTAAACAAATATTGAGGTCTTTTTCTATTTTTGTTGATGGATTGTTTTTTAACTATGGTATACGTAAATCGTCTTCTAGGAAACTCTCAACTTTTTTTATATAAAAATTTTTTTTCTAGTGCGACTGTAATGCTGCCTTTATCTGCTCTAGTAAATAAAATATTAGGATTTTGATTGCAGAATTTAATTGTGTCTTTATGCATGTGAAATAATTTTTCTTGTATGTCCGTTTCTTTTTTGTCGTTATTGTTTAAAAATAATGAAAATTGTGGAATGGCAGCATTACGAATCGAAGTAAGATTTCTGATCCCATTAGAATTGCTTTCTATATCTTTGATGAATTCGTGTATAGCTACTTTTTTATTTTAAGTTAACTGGGAGACTAAATTCACCTCCCAATTGTAATAGATTGGTTACATTGGGGGAAATTTTTTTATCAGTTAAATTAATAAACCATTTCTGGTTAGTTTGTTGTAAAGGGTTATGTGTAGCATAACGAAAACTGTTGGCAGAAACAGTGTTATCAACAATATTGTCGATGATGTTGTTTTTCAATTCGATAGGATCAATATTTTTAATGTACTCTGTTTCATGCGATTTACGTAGCCATAGGAATTTTTTCTTGTGTATGAGATATAATTTTTGGTTGAACAAAGAAAGGAGTTGCAATGGTGATTTAAAATCTCCTGCCAGATATAAGATAGTAAAAGATTTTGGAGAATTTGGAATTGCCTTGACCGTTTTTATTAAGTGAGTTTAAAAGTTCTATATAAATCAAATTCGCTTATTATTGTTGTTAGACTATTAAACTTTTACAATTATACACTAGAAAAATGCGCTCGCGTGCTCAAAAGTAGGTTGGCCACATTGTGTCGGTGCATGTTAGCAGCCTCTTATTGGCTCTGTCAATTTCAGTAATTTTCCATTCAAATATTGACTTTTAAATACTTAATAAATTAACTAAGTGCATTTTACTACTGCCTCATGAACAATAGACACGTATTTGTGCAAGTGCTTATAATCTAATTTAGATAGATTTTTAATATTCCTTTGCTATATTAGTGTATCGAAATAAATTACACGTGGCAGCTTTTGTTACGGCGCATATGCTTTGCGCAGTGCGCGCGTGCTCAACCAGGTTGGCAGCTTGCTTGCTATACGCTGGCAATCGTTTATTGGTTGATGAGGAAAACCGCGAATTTTTTGATCTATATAATATTGTATAATAAATTTTATATAGCTATACTAGACATTATTGACTCAATTTAACTAATAATTGATTTATTAAATTGGTGTAAACAGTTGAGTTTGAATACTTGTAAATTAGTGCTTGTATATACTTAAAACAAGGTAGACTGTGAAATGTGATGTGACATATAGGATTCTTTTATTATTATTATTACTATAAACAAAGTCATTAACATTTAAATTGAATGTGGTATTAGAAACCATATCTCAACTAAACTGGTCTTAAACTAATAGGTGACTCTTAGTTAAACTATATTAGTATTCCTTATACTTTTGCGTCCCCCTTGATGGCGCAGCTATTCCTCTGGCCATCCTTTTATCTGAAAATGATTAAAAGGAAATTTAGTATTGTTAGAATTCTTCACTAATAAATTGCTGGTTGTTTAGACATATATATCGAACAATATCTGATGTGTATAGGTATTGAACTTACATAAATGTATCTGCATATCGTATGAATTACTCGATAAATCAGGCGAAAATATTGATGGCCTGATAAGTGCCTTTATCATCTGTATACCTAGTTGTAATTCCAGAGTGACAATGATAATTAAACATTATTATTAACCCATTTTGGAAATAATATAACTTATGACTGAGAGGGTCTTGTACTTTCTTTGTGCGTAACACAGTGATAGGTTGTTATAAAAAGAGAATATATTAAAATAACTTAGGGAATTAGACTTGGAGGCAATAGTTATAATAGGTATAATGTGTGTATGTGTATTCAATATACATGCATATACTTATCTAATTGAGTTTAGACTCGATATAAGACGTTGTGTGAAATTCAATAATTGTACAACTGCTGACCTCTTATACAATTATATATATCTGATCTCTATATCTGCAACATAAAGGAACGTCGTATGAAGAAAATAAGAAGTCTTCCTTGAATTGAGTTAATATAGACTATAATTGTAGCATAAATTGCTCTTATGCTGTGTAGATCTAAAACATTAAATATTAACTTAGAATTAATAATATTAATAATAGTTATAATCTAATTAGATAAATAAATAGTTAAGAGTGATTTATCTTACCTGTGTTTAATACAGTGATGGAATATAACACGTAAACATTTGTTTATTAATATATATGATAAACTGTGATTCTCTTGATGCGTGTTAATTAATTAAACAACTAAGTTAGACTGGATATAAGAAATGTGTGAGACTCTTTAATTAATCTCTTATCGGTGATACAATTGTTGCCCTGATAGTAATATAGCTGGTCTTCTATCCATAATATTAAGGAAAAGAATACTGAGCTTGAGTTGTGGCTTCGGTATCCTGATGTAGTGAGAAATACCATAATATCAAGTACTTTCCTAATGGTATGCTAGAAGTGTTGTTTTATACAACCCTGAAATTGAACAAATATATTTACAACTGAAATGTGATAAATACTATGAATAAAGATAGTCTGGATTTGTTTGTTTAGAATCTGTGATTATTTCACATTATAATTAGTTATTAGACTTATAATAATAAAGTGATACATACATACCTACATCTTTAAGATATGTATAAGTATAGACTTGTGATGACCTGTAGTGTCGTACGAGAAAATTGGAAGTCTTCCTTGAATTGAGTTAATATAGACTATATGTTAAGGACCGTCACCGTCAACACTTTTATTAAATTCGAGTCTATCTATTCTGTAAATTTATGTCGTTCAAATTGTCGTTCCGCCAAGTCGTTCGATCTTGCTTATTGTGTCAATATTTTTAAATTACTCGCGTTATTTGTGTCAGCCTCGCAGTAACGGCCGTCCTTTGTGATTATCGTCTTAAAATTAAATATTTTGGCATGACTCTCGTCGACAGATTCTCGTTCGCGAAAGTACCCTTCGACTTGTTTTCAACGTCTCTTGTTTATTCGTTGTTCTATCACGACTTTCGCACGCAGAAAACACCTTGAAGTGTTTCCCGGTCAAACTGTTTTTTTGCTTCTTCTCGCATGGGCAAATTGAGGAGCGAACCGGCGTTCCCGCCGACTCTTTGTCAGAAGCCAACGAGAAATCATACGATCGAGATCGCGTCCGCACCTTGAGAATTCGAACAACTTGGCGGACTTATCGTTAGTAACGGGAACGCGGAACTCTATCTAAGTGTCGCGTCCGTGATACGATTCGCATCATTATATTTAATTCGGACAAAGTGAATAAATGACAGTGTTGTTAATTTGATTCAACCATGGTGCATTTATAAATCTGTTCCTCTCGCTCGCTCCCGTCTTCAATCTTCAGTCTCGCGGTCGCGGTCCACTATCATTCTGTCTCTCTCTTTCCTTCTCAACGTTCTATCACTCTGTCTCTCGCTCTCTCTCGCTCCTTCTCAACGCTATACCGCCGCCGTCTCTCTCATCGCACATTCATCCCGCGTTCTCGCGGAGCGGAACCCGCCGCACGCGTTCACGACATTCGAGTGAAAATCCTCGAATCACGAACATAAATTTGGTCCTTCGAGCCGGATCGGGGTGACTCTGTGCGGATCTGTTCTGTGGCCTCCTCCACTCCAGCGCGGTGACAGGCGCCTACCTCGAAGCAAGGAGAGTTCAAAGCGAGCTTTACCATGAGCGAGCCTCTGGCGCAGCAGATCATTCTGCTGCAAACTATCGAGCGAAGTCTCACTAATTTTAAGAAGATCGGCAAGAACAATTACACTGCCGCAAAAATTCGGCAACGGATCGGGACCTTGAAGGAGAACTGGACTACCTGTGTGAACAAACACGCCAACCTCGTGCAGATCGTCCCACTAGAGCAACGAGCTAACATCAGCTACTTCCGAGACGCCGAGTTCGAGCGTCACCAGGAGATTTACGAAGGCACGCTGGACTACATGGCCGACTGCCTCGAGGAGCTGGAACCTGCACCATCGATGTCATCGTCTCCGCTGCATCCGATGAGTACAATAGATCGTTCATTTTCTCGCTCACGCATTTACCGCCGATTAAACTCCCGCCCTTTTCCGGGAACCTCGATGAATGGGAATCTTTTCGAGATCGATTTACTTCGCTTATTATTCAAAACCAAGATCTCACTCCCTTTTCGCGTATGCATTTTTTAGCCTCAAGCCTTACTGGTCGCGCGTTAGATACCATTAAATCTATTCCGATTACTGCTACGAATTTCGAGATCGCGTGGAAAACACTCGCCTCACGCTTTGATAATAAGCGCCGATTAGTCGAAGTGCACGTATCCGCCTTATTCGATCTTCCGACGGCTACGCGCGAGTCCGCGTGCGAACTCAACAACTTCGCGACAAAGCGAATCGGGCTATCGCCTCGCTGAGAGCTCTTCAGCGGTCGCCCGAGGAGATGCTCAGTGACATTCTCGTTCACTGCGTGTCGCAAAAATTGGATCATGCTACTCGGAAGGCATGGCGATTGAAAACCGGTGAGGACCCGCAAATTCCGTTGTTCGAAGCTCTCGATCGGTTCCTCGAGATGCGTGTTCGCGCGCTTGAAGAATTGTCACCGTCGAAAGCGGAAAAAATGCGTGGGCAAAAGGTGTCAAGCGCGTCAGCGACCGTTTCAAAACTCGCGTGTCCTTTGTGTCAAGCTGCGCATTTTTTGAGTAAATGCCCGCAATTCTTGAAGAAGACGCCGAGTCAGCGATCTGAACTCATTAAATCAGCACATCGCTGTATTAATTGTTTGAGCTCGAAGCACGCCGTGCAAGCGTGCCCGAGCAAATACTCATGTCGAATCTGTCAAAATAGACATCACTCGATGCTACATTCTGACTCGACCTCTTCTTCTAGCAATCCAAACTCAACGACCGTGTTAAACGCGACGTCGGATAAAAAAGAAAACGACTCAGTAACGGCACTATTTTCTACTTCGACGGTAACCGCGCGCAAAAATGTACTACTCGCGACCGCCCGTGTTGCTGTTTTTTCGCCGTCGGGTCGTACACTCAACGTGCGAGCGCTCCTTGATCAAGGCTCAGAAATCACCTTTATCACAGAGCGTCTCGCTCAAAATTTAAAATTGCAACGCGTTCGATTGCCTCTTTCGATTTCCGCCGTCGGCGGCGTAGATGCGGGCACTTGTCGTTTCGCCGCTCAAGTCAAGATCGCTCCGATCAATTCTAACTCACCGGTGTTAACGACGACCGCGTCGATACTCAAAGTTTTAACTAAATACTCGCCATCAAGGCATTCTCTCTGTGCGATTGGAGCTATCTTCAGGATCTTGCGCTCGCGGATCCGACTCCCGTCAGTGCCGAATCTATCGACCTCATCATCGGTGCGGACCTTTATCCCGAATTATTGCTCGACGGTATTCGGAAAGGAACGAGCGGACAACCGATCGCCCAGCGGACGATCTTCGGCTGGGTCCTCTCAGGCCCCACGTCGGATGCCGGTGCGCCGCATCGATCGGTTACCGTGCAGCATTGCGCGAGCGCGGATACTCTCGATCGAGAACTCAGATGTTTCTGGGAAGTCGAAGAAGTGCCGCGTCGCGCGCTTCTCAGCCCAGAAGAACAACAGTGCGAACAGCACTTCGCACAAACACATTCGCGCGATGCTGACGGTCGGTACGTCGTGCGTCTGCCGTTCAGGCGCGGTCCACCAATCGACATTGGTGAATCGCGTTTTATCGCCGAGCGTTCACTCTCCAGTCTTCACCGACGATTTCGGTCGAACGCTGTTCTAAAATCCGAATACGTCGATTTCTTGCGCGAATACGAAGCGCTCGGTCATATGCGTCAAATTCCGGATTCAGTTCTTTCCGCTCAGCACGTATATATTCCGCATCATCCTGTCATCCGAGACAGCAGTCTCACTACGCGATTGAGAGTCGTTTTTAACGCGTCAAGTCGAACGACAAACTCGACTTCGTTAAACGATCATTTGCATGCAGGTCCGAAACTCCAGACGGCGTTACCTGCAGTGATCTTGCGATGGCGGCAATTCCGGTATGTATATGCGGCGGACATCGCGAAGATGTACCGCCAAATCCGTGTTGACTCTCGTGACATCGACTTCCAGCGAATCTTATGGAGCGCCGGCTGCTCAGATACCGGGCAGTCCTATCAACTGACCACGGTTACTTACGGGACAGCGTGCGCGCCCTTTCTCGCTCTTCGGGTTATACAACAGCTCGTGACGGACGAAGGCAGCTCGTTTCCTCTTGCCGCGCCGGTCCTGCATGAGAACATCTACGTCGATGATGTTCTGTTCGGTGCCGATGATATTCCGCTTCTCAAACAAACTCGCGATCAGGTCTGCGCTTTGCTCGGTCGGGGACGGTTCGAATTGAGAAAATGGTCGAGCAATTCCGCTGCTCTGCTGAACGATATCGAGGTCGACAACCACGGCCTCGCGTGCGATCGCACTCTTCGAATCGACGAACATCTAAGAATCTTAGGCATAAGCTGGAGCCCATCTTCCGATATGTTTCAATTTACCGTAACTCATATTCCGTCCGTTTCAAAAACCAAGCGGTCAATACTCTCGTACGTTGCCAAATTGTTTGATCCAATGGGGTGGTGCACGCCAGTAACAATCGCTGCCAAGATCTTTATGCAACAATTGTGGCAGCTTAAACTCAACTGGGACGATGTCCTTCCGACTGACGTCCGGCAAAAGTGGGAAGCCCTTCAGGCCTCACTTGCCGATCTCCACGGTCTCCAACTGAATCGATGGATTCAGCGAGGGTCTGACACTGTCCGCTGCGAATTGCACGGATTTTCTGACGCGTCCACTCACGCATACGCAGCGGCCGTGTATCTTCGGCTCACTTCTCTCTCTGGCGAAATCTCTTCTCACTTGCTAATAGGCAAGTCAAAGGTCGCTCCGATCAAGTCCCTCAGTATTCCTCGGCTGGAATTATGCGCAGCCGGATTGTTGGCTCGGCTACTCGAATTCGTGCGAACCACTCTTGGTCTCGCCACCTCCCCGTGCTATTGCTGGACAGACTCAACTGTCGTTTTAGCGTGGGTCACGCAACAACCGGCCAAATGGAAGACGTTCGTCGCGAATCGCGTATCAGAGATACAATCGCGCGTTCCGAACGCGGTGTGGAACCACGTTCCCACCGATGAAAATCCCGCAGATTGCGCATCTCGCGGAATCGCCGGGTCTCTCCTTCGAACTCACCCACTCTGGTGGTGCGGCCCCGCATGGTTGCGTTACCCGATCGACGAGCCGTCGACTTCTCGATCGCACAATTTCGATACTCAAATCGAACAAAAGGAGAGTATTCAGTCTCATTTAGCTTCGACGGAACTTGACTGCGACTTTACGATGAGATTTTCGTCGTGGCCTCGGTTAATTCGCGTAACAGCGTATATAATGCGCTTCATCAATAAAACTCGGAAGCAGTCGATTCCCGTTGACGACGTTAGGGAGAACACACTAGCGTTATCAGCCCGCGAATGTCAACTCGCGAAAGAGTTTGTTCTGAGACGGATTCAGAAAGAGCTCTTCCCTCTCGAGTTCGCTGCGCTCACAAGTCAACGAGCCATATCCTCGAAAAGCTCGATTCTGTCGCTCAACCCTTTCCTCGGCGAGGATGGATTAATCCGTGTTGGCGGGCGGCTTTCGCACGCGCCGCTTTCCTTTTCCGTTAAACACCCGATTATTCTCGCCTCGCATCCGCTAGTCGCTTTGGTTCTGTATCACGTGCATTTAAAATCTCTACACGCAGGTCTACAATTAACGCTCGCTACGCTACGACGCGAGTATTGGGTACTGCGCGCCCGAAGTCTCGCCAAACTCACTATTTTTCGCTGCGTTATTTGTACTCGAGAAAGGGCCACGATTCCCTTCCAACAGATGGGTGATCTGCCTCGCGTGCGGGTGACTCCTCCCGCACGCGCTTTTCTCAATTGCGGACTGGATTACGCTGGTCCGGTGCTCGTACGATCCTTGTCTGGTCGCGGAATCCCGTCACGAAAAGCGTATATCGCGATTTTTATTTGCATGGCGACTCGCGCCATTCATTTGGAGCTCGTGGAGGGCTACTCAACCTCAGCGTTTATCGGCGCGTTTTCTCGATTTTGTGCTCGACGCGGCCTGCCCTCGGCCATGTATTCAGATAATGGCACGAATTTTGTGGGCGCCGAACGCGAGCTTACCGCCGCGTTTCGCGCAGCTATCAGGGACCCGGACTTTCTCAATCGAACCGCTTCCGATCGAATCACGTGGCACTTTATGCCACCTTCCGCTCCTCATTTCGGCGGATTATGGGAGGCGGGAGTACGGAGTGTAAAGCACCATCTCCGTCGAGTGATTGGGGCTCATACTCTCACATTTGAGGAATTCTCAACAGTCTTATGCAATGTGGAGGCGTGTCTCAATTCCCGACCGCTCGCTCCTCTCAACGACTCGGTCGACGATTATGAACCGTTAACTCCCGGGCATTTTTTGATCGGCTCGGCCCTGACCGCAGTTCCCGAACCTTCCGTTTTGAATCTTCGCGAAAATAGACTGTCGCGCTGGCAACTCGTGCGCCAGATCTCAGAAAGATTCTGGAAGTTATGGCTTGACGACTATGTAAATACGTTACAACAGCGCGTCAAGTGGAAACGACCTGCCAAAACCGAGATCCGCGTCGGTCAACTCGTCTTATTGCGTAACCCTCTACTCCCCCTTGCAAATGGGAGCTCGCTCGCGTACTACGATGTCACACGGGTCAAGACGGATTAACTCGCGTTGTTACGGTGAAGACTGCGGCGTCCGAGTATAAGCGACCGATTAATAAGCTATGCCTGCTTCCAATCGATATCGAGAAGCTGGAGCCTCCGACGTAAAGCGACTTCACGCTCCCGATTTCAAAGGAAATCATACGTACTCTCGATATTCCGATCGCCTCGTTAAATTCTTCTAAATGTTCTCTTAGTTTTGTACTCATAGCATACATTTCGAAACGATAGTTTCGAGGCGAGCGGTATGTTAAGGACCGTCAACACTTTTATTAAATTCGAGTCTATCTATTCTGTAAATTTATGTCGTTCAAATTGTCGTTCCGCCAAGTCGTTCGATCTTGCTTATTGTGTCAATATTTTTAAATTACTCGCGTTATTTGTGTCAGCCTCGCAGTAACGGCCGTCCTTTGTGATTATCGTCTTAAAAATTAAATATTTTGGCATGACTCTCGTCGACAGATTCTCGTTCGCGAAAGTACCCTTCGACTTGTTTTCAACGTCTCTTGTTTATTCGTTGTTCTATCACGACTTTCGCACGCAGAAAACACCTTGAAGTGTTTCCCGGTCAAACTGTTTTTTTTGCTTCTTCTCGCATGGGCAAATTGAGGAGCGAACCGGCGTTCCCGCCGACTCTTTGTCAGAAGCCAACGAGAAATCATACGATCGAGATCGCGTCCGCACCTTGAGAATTCGAACAACTTGGCGGACTTATCGTTAGTAACGGGAACGCGGAACTCTATCTAAGTGTCGCGTCCGTGATACGATTCGCATCATTATATTTAATTCGGACAAAGTGAATAAATGACAGTGTTGTTAATTTGATTCAACCATGGTGCATTTATAAATCTGTTCCTCTCGCTCGCTCCCGTCTTCAATCTTCAGTCTCGCGGTCGCGGTCCACTATCATTCTGTCTCTCTCTTTCCTTCTCAACGTTCTATCACTCTGTCTCTCTCGCTCCTTCTCAACGCTATACCGCCGTCTCTCTCATCGCACATTCATCCCGCGTTCTCGCGGAGCGGAACCCGCCGCACGCGTTCACGACATTCGAGTGAAACTCCTCGAATCACGAACACTATAGTTGTAGCATATTTGCTCTTCTTATAAAGTGTTAGATCTAAACATCAAATATTATTAGAATTGATGATATTAATAATATTATAATTTAATTAGACAAATAATCAAGAGTGAGTTATTTTACCTGTGATTAACACAGTGATGGAATGTAACACGTAAACTTTTGTTTATCAATATATATAATAAACTGTGACTCTTTTGATATGTGTAAATCAGTTGAACAACTAAGTTAGACTGGATATAAGAAACGTGTGAGACTTTTTAGCCTTTCATTGGCGATACAGTTGTTGTCCTGACAGTAACATAGCTGGTTTCTGTCTGTGACACTGAGGGAAAGTTTATTGAACTTGAATGTGTGGCTCTGGCATCCTGGTGTGATATGTATAGTTATAGACTTGTAATAATAGATGTCTTCTGCGAACTAAGCTAATATAGACTACAATTGCAGCATAATCCGCTCTTTTTATGTTGTATTAGATCTAAAACATCAAATATTAATTTAGAATTAATAATATCAATATAATTATAATCTAACTAGATAAATAAATAATCAAGAGTTACTCATTCTACCTGTGTTTACCAGTGATGATGACATGTAATACAATACATCTGTTTATTATATATGATGAACTGTGATTCTCTTGATATGTGTAAATCAATTAAACTATAAGTTAGGCTGGATATAAGACACGTGTGAAACTTTATAATTAATCTCTTATTGGTGATACAGTTGTTGCCTCGATAGTAATATAGCTAGTCTTTCTATCTATAATACTGAGGAAAAGGTTACTGAGCTTGAGCATGTGGCCTTGATATCCTGGTGTAGTGAGAAATATCATAATATCAAGTACTTCTTAGTGGTATGTGAAAGCGTTGTTTTACATAACTCTGAAATTGAACGAACGAATATATTTACAACTCCGAAATGTGACAAATATTATAAATAAAGGATAGTCTGGACTTACTTGATTAGAATCAGTGATTATCTCATATTATAATTAGTTATTAGACATATAATAATATAAGAAGTAATACATATATAAGAATTAAGAATATTAATAATAATTAGATAAATAAATAATCAAGAATGACTTACTTTACCTGCACTTAATATAGTGATGGGATGTAGCACGTGAAACATTTGTTTATCAATGTATATGATAAACTGTGACTCTTTTGATACGAGTAAATCAATTAATCAATTAAGATAGACTGGTTACAAGATATGTGTAAGGTTCTTTCCTTAATTAATCCCTTATCGGTGATACGGTTGATGTCTTGATAGTAACATGGTGGTCTTTCTATTTAATACTGAGGAAGGGATTATTGAACTTGAATCTGTGGCCCTGTTATCCTGGCGTAGTGAGAAATATCATCATAATATGAAGCACTCTCTTAGTGGTATGTGAGAAGCGTTGTTTTATACAACCCTGAAACTGAACAAATATATTCATTAAAAGAAGCTCCTAAATTGTTTTCTGTGTTTAGTAATTGGACTTATGTTACTTGATAACTATATATGGATCACATAATAATATAAGAGGTAATTTATACTTTCTGGATATATGTACAAGCATGGTCTGATGTTGACTTGTAGTATAGACGAAGAATACCAGAGAAATTTTCCTGGGCTGAATGAACTTATATGGAGATTCCCATCGTAGTGTGGTTTTTGCTCTTTTCAAGCCTTTCCTGATGCAAACAAACAAACAATTAAGTTAGAATTAATAATTAATATTCAGCTATCTGATGACTAGTTTATTAGAATAACTGATTTGAGTGAAGACTGATAAATTAAACAATTGTGTTGTTTCTATGACATTATAAGTTACGTAACGGGTAAATAACATTATTTATTAATAAAAGGAACTAGTAATTGATACTTTCAATATTAACTAATAAACTGAATAGTTAGTGTGTGAATATGGTTATTCAATATTGGAGAATGAAAATATTATTCATTGAACAATTATAAGTTTATAGTATTTTAATTACATATACTATTGTGACCTGACAAGTAGTAAGATGAAATCTTTCTTCATTGATCTTCATTCTATAATAATGCTGATGTCTGTTGTCATCTGATAATTTGTGAAGAATACTAGAAATTCTCATTGAGCTGTGTTAATTTGTGTACGAAGATTGCCATTGTATCTTGATTCTTCAAGCCTTTCCTGATATTAACATACAATAAAAATTTATTAGAATAACTAAATTGAGTGAAAACTGACAATTGAACAATTACAGTGTTTCTATGACATTATAAGTTATGCAGTGGACAAATAACATTATAATTATTAATAAAGTAACTAGTAATTGATAAATTTTCAATATTAATTAATAAACTGAACAGTCAGTGTGTTAAATTTGCCTATTTAATATTGGTAAATGGAAATATTATCTATTGAATAATTATAAGTTTATCGTACTTTAATTACACATACTATTGTGATCTGATAAGTAGTTGAAGAATAATAAATGAATAAGTCTTTTCTTATTGATAATCTTCATATTTATTATAATGCTGGTGCTTGTTGTATAAAGTCATCATTACTATTTGATAATTTGTGAAGAATATTGGAAGCTCTCATTGGGCTGTGTGAATTTACATGAAGACTGTCATTGTACTGGTTTTTGCCTCTTCTAGCCTATCCTGATATTAATATATAATTAAAGTTAATATTAATATTTAATATTAATTATCTAAATAATTAGCTTATTAGAATAACTGATTTGAGTGAAAACTGACAATTAAACAATTATGGTGTTTTCTATGACATTATAAGTTACATAGTGAGCAAATAACATTATAATTATTAATAAAGTAACTAGTAACTGATAAATTTTCAATATAAACTAATAAACTGAACAGTTTAGTTGTGAATTTCAATATTGGAGAACGGAAATATTATCCACTGAATAATTATAGGTTTATAATACTTAAATATATACACTATTGATACCTGATAAGTAGTTGAAGAAGAAATCTTTCTTTATTAATGATCTTCATATATTCATTATAATGCTGGTGCCTGTTGTATAAAATCATAGGTATCATCTGATTTTGTGAAGAATATTAGAAACTTTCATCGGACCGTGTGAACTTATATAAAGACTGCCACTGCAGTATGGCTTTGATGATCCCTTCAAACCTTTTCTGATATTAATAAATAACCAAAAGTCAGAATTAATAATTAATTAATATTAATTACTTAAATAATTAGCTTATTAGAATAACTGATCTGAGTAAAAAGCTAATAATTGAACAACTGTATTGTTTTATGACATTATAAGTAATATATGGGTGAATAACATTATAATTATTGATAAAATAATTAGTAATTGATAGATTTTCAACATTTAACTAATAAACTGAACAGATAGTGTGTGAAATGTGCCTACTCAATAATGGAGAATGGAAATATTGCCCCCTCGATGCAAATGGATCTCAACTGAAGAAGCTGATGCTGACGATACTGAGTGCTGCTAGCTGGAATACACCTTGGTGGGCTCTCTGAGACTGCCTGGAGTTCAGCCATGGATGCGCAACTCCTGAAAAGTTAAGTGGCATTGATTACGAGTGTTCTCTATGAATTTGACTTTACGTAACATCACATTAGTAAAGGTTTTTAGATTATAACCTAATAAATTGAAATATAGTTGTTATAACCTTAATGACATTTAATTTATATTATAAACAAAGTTAATAAGTGAATTCAATTAGTACGCACACATAAACTCATAAAGCGATAATAGACTACTATGATATCAAATCATATATAAATAAACAATATTAACTACTTACGCTGCATCTTGCTTTGCGAATAATCTTGAGGTATGATCACTCACTTTAGTGTTAGAAATAATAGCCGGAATCTCATACCCTTGCGTTGAACTTATGATGACTTGTATTTGCCTCCGTGACTTGATGGGATGTGTACTTAAATCAAGAAGTGTTAAACATATTGCGTTCGATAATAACAACACGAGTTATAGTATGCACTTAATTGGCATTGTAATTACAATTATAGAATTTGATACTTGATATTTATATGAGGGTTATAATTATATTAAGAGTTACCTTGTATAAGTTATTGCATATTAGCATATATTAATAAGGATAATCAATGTTGGCAGCGTAAACCAGATTAATAACAGCTTGACTGTGATCTCTATTTAGATATTTCTATTGCGGAGTTCAATTAATATATAACATTCACGTTACAACCCGTCACCTAATAAAGTGAGGTTGGGATTCACGTAGGATTGTTTTCTTCCTCGTGGATATACTAAAGTTACCAAAAGAGCATTGACGCGCCATCTATCGATGTCTGGCTGAGCCTTGTAGCAAATGCAATGAACAGTCATTGAATAAGATATAGATGGGTAACTCTGTGTTCCTAAACGAGATTATATAAGTTACTAGATCGGGGAATTGTTAAATTGGCCAATCTCTGGTTTTCTCTTATTTAATGCATCATTAAGAACGTTTCTAATATTAAATCAGTAAATTTAACAGTTAAAGAGTTACCATAGCTTATTTGCATGCATATTTATAGCGTTAATAGTAATTTTCTATAGTATT